CTTACCAAAACTTCAAGCACTGGGAATTGCAGGCTCTACACTACGTCTCCTCAGTGATTACCTTCATGGTAGATCTCTAAGTGTAGTTCTCAATGGAATGGAATCAGCAAGACATCCTATTGGGGCAAGTGTTCCACAAGGAAGCGTGCTGGGACCATTGTTATGGAATGTCTACTTCAACGACCTTCTTCATCTCATCCCAGAATCACATGCGTATGCAGACGACTGTACACTGACATTCACTTATCCAAGAGAAGAAATGCCAGCTGCTCTAAGCTATATCAATCACCAGCTAAGAGCTATATCAGCTTGGGGAAATAGATGGCAAGTAACATTTGCACCTGAGAAAACGCAAATGATGATCGTCTCTAGGCACCATGATGGTAATGCTGGTGCAGTAGTAAGGATGAATGGGAGGGTGTTGGCACCTGGAGAAGAAGTTGATATCCTTGGGGTGAAATTTGACTTCAAACTAACCATGAAGAACCATGTTGTAAATCTTGCAAACAAGGCAGCCAGGAAGCTTACAGCACTTCACCGTATCTCGCATCTGCTTGACAGTAGGGGTTGCAAGATTCTGTACGAGGCACAAGTACGCTCACACCTTGAGTATGCTCCACTTTCTTGGTTTGCCTGCCCCCCTCCCTCTCATCTGCGACTGCTTAACAGAGTAGAGAACAGAGCAAGACGTCTCATCTCTCGCCTGGACCCATCCTGGATAGATCCGGCATTTCAGCAGAGCCTTCAACATAGGAGGGATGTGGGTGGCCTTACTGTTATGTACAAGGCCAATATTGTCAAAGTACCACACTTGGATCCACTTCGAGGACAGCGTGAAACAAGCTTTTATGCCACAAGACGGGCAGAAAGCAGCAACTTCACTCTGGCTGTACCCTTCTCCAGAACATCACTCCATCTGAGATCATATATACCCAGGATGACTCGTGTATGGAACACATTCGTACATCATAATGATGTCAACGAGATAAAGTCAGTTGATCAAATGAAAATACTGGCCCACAGCTGGCTCCAACTTCATCCTGTTCCCTACTTGTATGTCTCATAACAAAAAAAAAATGCTTTCAAATGAGCTGATGTAGGTAACAGCTCTTAGCTTGCCAATAAAGTTAGGAATCCTTAACCTGTAAACAGCTTGTCAATAAAGCTAGAGATCCTTAACTTTTTCAAACCCTGTGTAAAAGAGAGAGAGAGAGAGAGAGGGGGGGGGAGCAGCAGCAATTTTGAGAATCTTCTCAAACCAACAAAACAGTTTCCCAAAGTCATGCATTCAACCAGACATTGATGGCTACCTGTCAGAACATTATAGTCATCCCTGTATCGCGGTCAAGACACATTATGGGAAACTCTTGTATTATTTTCAAGCTTATATGTATGTACAGAGAGAGAGAGAGAGAGAGAGAGAGAGAGAGAGAGAGAGAGAGAGAGAGAGAGAGAGAGAGAGAGAGAGAGAGAGAGAGAGACCGCCACCCTCTCGGCTTTGATATAAAATGGCTATAAATACATATAAACATATTTTTTAAAGGGGTGGAGGGGCCCTTCACTCTTGTCCCCCAGGATGCCACCCATACAAGTCCACTAACACCCAGGTACCTACTTGATTACTAGGTGAACGGGACAACAAGTGTAAGATGACTAATACCCAGGTACCTGCTTGCCTGCTAGGTGAACAGGACAAGACGTGTAAGAAAACACGCCCAATGTTTGATGAGGGAGAGTAGGGGGTTAGGAGGGAGGAAGAGGGGTGAAGAGGAAGAGGAGTGGTGAAGAGGGAGGGGAAAGAGAGTGGTTAAGAGTAAGGATGAGGGGAGAGGAGGTATGTTGAAGGGAGAGAGAGAGGAAGGAAGTGGAGGGGGAGAGGAGGGATATGGAGGAGTGAGGGGGTAAATACGAGGGACAGGGGAGGGATGGAGGGAGACGTGAGGAACGTAAATATTTGAAATGAAAGTGAAAATGAGGCTTAACATTCCTGAGTGTTTGTAATGAGTGTCACAGTTGATGTTTACATGTGCGTGTGTGTGTTTGTGTAACTCGTCTACCGAATAAACACTTCCTTTAATCAATATCCTCTTTCCCCACGTCCCTCCATCTCATTTCTCAACTTCCCTTTTCTTTCCCTGCCTCTTTATCCCCTCACTCTCTCCCTTTCCCTTGCTTTCTCCTCCTCCTAACACTCTCTCCTACGTTAGTCTCTTGTTTACCCTCCTCCTGCCCCCCCCCCTCATCTTCCAGCAACAATGGAAGGTGAAACCCCACCTCTACGCTCCACGGCCTCAATGACTAAGTTATAGGTCAAAAACAAGTGTCTCATAAAAAACGGGATGCTGCTGTGTTGACCCACACACTTATAGAAAACGACATCACTCACGATTTCCTTCATGACGCAGAAGGGAAATTCAAAATTATATTATTATAATGGTATAATAACTGTTATAATCATACTATCATATTACTATTATTGAATTATATTTTTATAATTATTTTACAATTATCATAATTATTAAACTCTAAGGGAAACGCTAAAACTGTCATACAATACTTTCTTTCTTGAGTTATCCTGGGTAATCTACACATATGCTACTTTGTATGATAATTTATGTGACCGTATTTATGTGTACCCATACCTGAATAAACTTACTTACCTGTACCTAAATAAACTTATTTGATGCTGGGGAATGGGAAGTGGTCATGTTCAGTCCGAGTGTAACTCCCATTCCTTCGCTCAAGAGCCCTTCACCAGTATACAGAGAACACTGTTGAAGGAAGCCTTTCCACAAATGCCAAATAAAAAATGAACCTTGCAATGAGATGACACTGATTATTATTATTATTATTATTATTATTATTATTATTATTATCATCTGTACTGACCTTTTACTGTAATTTACCATCAACCTTTTTTTTTTAACTTTACTCTCATATTTTATTATCATTATTATTTACCATCGATCTTATTTTATAGTTTACCCTCAATCACTTATTATCATTATTATTTAACACCGATTTTTTATTATAGTTTACCGTCGAACTTTTATCATAGTTTCCCATCGACATTTTATTACAGTTACCTACTGATCTTTTTGAGTTTACCATTGATCTTTTATTATAGTTTAACGTTGATATTTTAAATATAATTTACCATCCATCACTTATCAAAGTTTACCCTCGCTTTTTTTCTATAGTTTACCAACTATTTATTCTTTCATGGCATGACTTGCACGTTGCAGCACCACACTGACGTTAGTAAGAGATAAGATAAGATAAGATTTCGTTCGGATTTTTAACCACGGAGGGTTAGCCACCCAGGATAACCCAAGAAAGTCAGTGCGTCATCGAGGACTGTCTAACTTATTTCCATTGGGGTCCTTAATCTTGTCCCCCAGGATGCGACCCACACCAGTCGACTAACACCCAGGTACCTATTTGCTGCTAGGTGAACAGGACAACAGGTGTAAGGAAACGTGTCAAATGTTTCCACCCGCCGGGAATCGAACCCGGGCCCTCCGTGTGTGAAGCGGGAGCTTTAGCCACCAGACCACCGGGTCACCTAGTAACGACCAGTGAAGAGGCGGGGCCAGGAGCTAGGACTCGACCCCTGCAACCTCAACTAGGTGAGTACATGCAGCGCCTTTCTCCGAGATTCACAAAACTGATGAAAGCCAGTTCTTATTCCTTTCCTAGAGTGATTTCACTTTCACAACGCAGACCTGACAAAAAACGGGAACTAAAAATGGGCGGGAAATTTAAAAAAACGGGAAATTTTAAATAACGCGGGAAATTTTAAATGCGGGAAATTTTAAATAACGCGGGAAATTTTAAATAACGCGGGAAATTTTAAATAACGCGGGAAATTTTAAATAACGCGGGAAATTTTAAATAACGCGGGAAATTTTAAATAACGCGGGAAATTTAAAATAATGCGGGAAATTTAAAAACTCAAAAACTTAGAAAATGAAAAACTAAAAAATGCGTGAACTTAAAAATGCAGAACTTTAAAAAATGGGGGAAATTAAAAACATGGAGACTTAAAAACGCGGGAACTTTAATAATAAAAATACTGAATATTATTATTATTGTTATTGTTATTTTTCTTGGGGAAGAGTTAAAACCATAGTGGCCGGGGGAATGGGAGGTAATCAAGTGTGGATCCAAGGTGGTGGAGGGTAGCTCTAATTTCTCGGATCACGAGACTTTCACCAGCATCAGCACCCACCCAGTGAAGGATTTCCGGTTGCAGATTGCACAGAAAAGCATTTCCCCCCAAAATAGAAAGTATTGACCTGGTGAGAGAGAGAGATGGATGTATCAAACATATCACCCCATCTCTCTCTCAGTCCTTGTCCTCTCTCTCTCTCTCTCAGTCCTTGTCCTCTCTCTCTCTCTCTCAGTCCTTGTCCTCTCTCTCTCTCTCTCAGTCCTTGTCCTCTCTCTCTCTCTCTCAGTCCTTGTCCTCTCTCTCTCTCTCTCAGTCCTTGTCCTCTCTCTCTCTCTCTCAGTCCTTGTCCTCTCTCTCTCTCTCTCAGTCCTTGTCCTCTCTCTCTCTCTCTCAGTCCTTGTCCTCTCTCTCTCTCTCTCAGTCCTTGTCCTCTCTCTCTCTCTCTCAGTCCTTGTCCTCTCTCTCTCTCTCTCAGTCCTTGTCCTCTCTCTCTCTCTCTCAGTCCTTGTCCTCTCTCTCTCTCTCTCAGTCCTTGTCCTCTCTCTCTCTCTGTCCCTATCCCTTGGTCTCTCTCCTTCATTGTCTATCCCCTGTCCCTCCCTTCCTCTCTTTCTGTCTATATCTCTCCCGTGTCTTCCATTCAAATCCAATTCGTCTGTAAATTAAATATCATTTTTTTTGCCATATTCAATGCAGGCATTGACCGGAGGGATTGGAGGGTGAGGAGAGGGCCTTCCGCTTTACAAACCTTGCCTCAACCACCTAGATAATACACGATAGTTCCTAATCTAGAATGAAGTAGATAGTTCTGCCTATCTATCCTTAC